TAAGCCTTACCTCCCACTGCATAAACATTCATCCATACAAATATATTACATTTTGTATGGAATGTAGATATTCGTCAACCTCGCTTCCCCCTCAATCTGGTAACTTCTCTTCCTTGTTGATTCACGAACCTCTCTTCCCCCTAAAAACATGAAAGATTTGCTTGTTTTTACTTTGACCTGGACCTTGAACCAATTCGTATCGACTAGCTTGATGATCTTGATAAGGCTCTTCTCCCAACTCCACTGCCATGACTGCTGCCTCCCCTGCAATATCGTGCCTGATTCTAATCCAGTATTTGCCTTCTTTGCTTGTCTTATTCTATATCGCCAATTCACCTTCACTTATGTTTCTGAAATTCTGTTGATATCGGCTTCGGATCTTTCGAATCCAGTTTAGCTATATTATGCCATATATATTCGGAACATCTTGAATCGGCTTTTAGGGCGCCATATTGTTGTTTTGAGTGCCATTGACCACCTTTAGTTGAGTAGATGTGCATACGGAACCATAATCCGGAATATCCAGAACCGGTTCTAAGGTGACCATATAGCGGTGCCGGTGGTGTAGTGGTAAGCGTGATTACCTCTCACCCCAACAGGCCTGGGTTCAATCCCAGTCGGTGCCGCCGGGATGTTCTGAGGCATAACATCTCTGATCACGTCTTCCTTCGGAATGGAAGTGAAGCCGTTGGTCCCCGGCTCATTAGTTTATGGGTCGATAGGTAGGGTCCAGGTGTGGGAGCCTGGGACCAAATATGCTGTATTTTCAAAGATTCCGTGAGGTTTGGTGAACGCACATCAACCATTTTACATAAAAACGGTGTGTTTCTTTGGTGGAAAAAAGTGATTTCCCTATCACAGATTACAGACGTCAGCTTAGCACTGAAAAAACCGAACGGTACATATGCTTATGCTATGTTAGATCAGCATTGTAAGTCCCACCTAAATGGAAGAACTATGCTATGGAACGACTTGCTATACCCCGCCTCCATCAGCCAAACATACGGGAAATCATAATTAAGGCGGAGCATAGCAAGCCGTTCTATAGCATAATTCTCGAAGTAGGAGGGACTTACAATGCTAATCTCAAAGCATAATTATGAGATTTTGATAGCAAATGACGGCAAATAGGAGGGAGTATCATTCCGCAAAAAAGCCATCTTGAAATTCGTGAAAAAATAAAACTTATAGGTAGATATGGCTTTGCTACTTTTTCAAAAAAAGCCAAAAATTAAGCAGCATCTAAGGCACATATTGAGTTGTGCTTATGTTGCCGATTCAAATACGCAATTTAGTTATCCTTTAGCATGTTGTTTATTCATGCAATATGGCCACAACTCAAAAAAGTAAACCCATTTTTTCGGGACCTTCTAGTCCTAAAGTAACTGCTATGGCCTTACCTTAACAAATCTTGAAATTAGAGGTCGAAAAAAAAGGTGGCCATATGGATCTATGCTCGTTTTGAGTGTCATTGTACATTGTACATTGTACATTGGGTGTGGTGATATGTGTGTGTGTATTCCCTTTAACCCCCACTGGCCGGCAGTGTTATTATGGAAGAACTCTCTCTACAATGTCGCATTTATGGTCATTGTAGACAGCTTTAGTCCGGGAGTTAGAAAGTGATAGCTCTATTGCAGATCCAGCAACCCATTTCAGAATGTCTGGAGAGTCACGCCCATTCCGAGGTTACTTTCACTTACAATAAGCCCCGCATGTATGCATCACCGTTATCAAATGGATATTGGTATTACATACACGCTAACAGGTTCGAAAATATATTTTTTCAAACCTGGCATGTATTTAGTTTAATTTTGAAATATATTTTTTTAATTATTGGAAAGCTCTCACCATATTCTGCTTTTCCGCCGTCGGTGATTAGTTCTTTTGGAATCCCTTGGACTTTTTCTCTAACGCTTCGTATTTCATTCCGTGCTTCACCGGCAATTTCCTTCCGTCGGTTTCATTGAATTGAAATGATTTGCCATGGTGATCTGGGACGAGGCTCACGTCCAAAGTCGCTGTTCCACCGAGCGCTCCGTGTGCGAAAAGAGAATGAAAGAAATACGAAAGGGATCAGCTTCAAGAAGTGACAGTTTCATTAGATTCCCCAACTAACCATAGTCAAGCAAAGTAAGAATATACAAGCTATATTGCGACTATATGGTTACTTGAGTACTCATATGGCCGTCAGAATGGTTCATCGGTTGCGAAGTGAAATATTTCTGAAAGTGATACGTTATATTTTTCAGTGTTTTGATTTTCTCCTAACGTTACCTCCATGTTATTTCACAGACAAGCAGACACAACACATTGAAAATTTATCATTGTAAACCCTACCGCCATCTGTCGTATATACATTGATGGGCAATACACTCAACAGATGGTTGTAGTGTGTAAACGTCAAACGTTAGGGAATTGATTATGTGCACCACAAGTGGCGGTACTACCAACTAAGAAACATTTAAATTGACCGTTAAAAACGATTTTGATGAACGTTTTAAGAGTGTTATGTCTGCTTGTCTGTGATCTTACCTTCACTATCGCAACTTCGGGTAATTTGCGAAGTACTTGCATTTTTCTCAGGCACTTTTGATCTAACTGCAATTACTCTCTCATACTCGAAATGTGCCACGACCAAATTGGCACAACGACGCCCTATACGCTCTCTGACCGACGTGCAGGGTATTCGTTGAGTTGATGGAATATGTGATTTAAATGTCGCTTGAAACGGTTATGAAAGATATCAAATTTTACCATACGGAATCATAATCCGAAATATCCTGACCCGGTTCTTCAGTGGCTATATGGCTATATGGCTGTCGTTATGAGTGACGTTAGTCATATTTCGTCGAATAAATGTGATTTGATATGTCGCTTGATATGGTTATGAAAAATGTCAAATTTGACTATGTGGAACCATAATCTGAAACATCCGGAACCGGCTCTACAATAGACTGGCCCACAAAAATAAAAGTTCTAATTTTCCACGGGCCAACCCGAAGATTTGTGCCATTAGGTGAGAAAAGCACATTCTGAAAATTTCAGCTCATTCGGATGAAACACGAGCTGGCGCTTTTAGTTTGAATTTTGTATGGAGAATTTTTATAAAATACATGAAAAAATGACACTCCTACACTCTATCGATCATAAAAAAGTTTCCTTATTATCGATTTGATTCAGATTTTCAAAACTTGTAGTTCAATCGATGAGTAACAACTTTGCTGAAGATTGCATCATGAATCTAGTTAGTTTTATCGAGATATTCGCTTTGGAATGTATATGAGCATTTTGTATATGAAAAATTTAAACCAAATCTCCTATATGGACATTAAACCAAAAGTGCCAGCCCGTGTAACGTCAAAAAGAGCTGAATCATTCAGAGAGTGGTTATCGCACCAAAAGACACGAGCCTGGATGTTGGTTTGTGTAAAATATGAAATTTTATTTTTGGTGGTAATCTACACAGCAAAAAAAAATGTACTATCGATCAACGTAATTCAAGCTGATGTATGAAATAATGATGTAATAGCAAAAAGCAGATACAATATTACATCAATTTGTTGTTCGCAAAATCGATGTACATCGTACAACGTAATATAACACAACCGGTGGAATGACCTCTGTGAAGCTGTTTGGATGTAATATTCAACAACTTTTTTTTTCTGTGTAGTTGATTCGTTGCATAAGCTGCCTGTATTTTGTTGCCGAGAAGAATGCAAATAATTAATTAATATCTCCATAATACTAACTTGAATCGTGATGCTGTCTTGAGCAAAGTTGTTCCTGATAGTTTAAACTACGTGTGCTAAAATTCTGAGCTTAATCGAGTTTGCTGAATCAGTTCTATGCACGAAAAAGTGAAGTAATGTTATTTCTCCATACATTTCAACCAATATCCTCATGCAAAAGCGCCAGCTCGTGTTACATCCGAATGAGCTGAAATTTTCAGAGAGTGGTTTTCTCACCTAATGGCACAAATCTAGGGGTTGGCCCGTTGAAAAAATGATAAAAAAATTCCCCCATATAAATGTGGGCCAGTCTACTCTATAATAGGCATAGGCTCTATGGATGCCGTTGTGTATGCCATCTATAAAATTTCGTCTAGTAGATGTGAGAGATATCAAATTTGACCATGTGGAACCATGACCCGTTATTTCCGGAACTGTTCTACGGTGACCATGGTTGTTATTTTGAGTGTCCTTGGTCATATTTCGTCGAATAGATGTGATTTGATATGTCGCTTGATATGGTTATGTTAGATAATAAATTTTACCTTTTGGAACCATAATCCGGAACATCTGGAACCGATTCCAAGGTAGGCATATGGTCTTATGATTATCTATCATTTGCGGCAGTTCTAAGAAAAAAATCATTATGTTGTTGCAATGATAGGTATAATGTAAGGGGCTGTTCATAAACTACGTAGATTTTTTTTTGGGATTATTGACCCCCCCCCTGCTGTCCATACAACATTTTTAAAATTTGTATGGGTCGTGCATAATTGTCACCCCCCCCCCCTTCCCCTAAACTGTCTACGTAGTTTATGAACAGCCCTAAGATACAGATTGAAGAAACACCCCGTGCCAACACATTCTTGGAGTGATGTTTAAAAAAAAAACATTTAATCGGCAATTGCATCTCTGGAATATATTTTTTTGAAAATAAAAAGTTTGTCCCGGGCTTTTACGGTTTAAAAAATAGTCAAGTAAATACTACTGATATGCCTTTATAAGAGTGTGTTACAATTTAAGAAGAAACATGATGAACTCTGATTTCGAAAATCTCTAAAAATGCTTCTAATAAACTGTCTTAATGTAAAAATCAGCTAATTTAAATTTAAGTTTTACTGATGCACATGGCATACGAGAAATAGTATCGGTTGATCTGAAAACATCTCAACCGAAATTATCCATCAACTTGATAATTTTCTTAGTCTGTCTGAGCCAGTCTCAAGTCTCAAATGCAATAAGTTATAATAATTATGTTTTCCCCAACAGGTACAGCGGCAAAACGCAGAAACAAATCATCGAATTCGTCCGCGGCAATTACGTAAAGCGGCAAACGTTCCAAAGGTAAATATTGATTTTCTTCACATCTTACTCTAACTGATAACAACGCTGCATTGATGATGATAATGATGACGATGAGCGTACAATTCTTTTGGCTTTTTTCCCTTAGACATATTCTTGTGCCTTCACTCTTCTACTTTCCTAATACAACTCAAACAAAAACTCCGTCCCTGCAGTCACACTGTATGCATTCCTATCCGGACGCTTTTGTTTGCGCATATCCATTGTCATATGTTTACTTATGCCTTTTACCCACCACCACAATGTCCATCACCCTAATTTTCCAACACCCTCATCCTAGTAGGCTTTTTCGCTTTCAACTTACCTATTTTCTTCAGTTCTGATTTTTCACTTGTGTTAAACCGGTTCCGTCCGCTTCGGTTTTCTTCTGTTCGACCTGTAAACCACCGAACATTTGCCTCATTAAATTATTCACGTTCTTTCTCTGTCTCTCTGGCTCGCGTATCCCTTTTCGGTACACCACTTTTGGTTTCTGTCCGCCGCCAACAAACACAAGGACCTTGGCATTACACCGAACCCATCAATCACCGCACGACCATCATCGAGTCCTCTCCCCATCCACTTCTCCGCCGCTGACCGCAATCAATTGACCGGAATGTAAATATGTGGCTTCAAAGTTGGAAACCCTCTAATTTCGTTCCGCGTAGGGAGTTTATTGTAGAGCTTTTACCTTTTTTCGATTGATTTTGGTTGGATTTTTGTTTTGTTCTTCGTTTCGATGGGACAGTAAAATTCGGCAGAAAACGATTTAGATTGCTCAAAGGAAAGCAAAACAGAAACCTTGTCGTACTACCATGTCTGGTGAAGGACACGTTTTTTCATGCTACCGTCCTTGTTTCAAAGTTTTTGTTCCGGAAAGTATCCAATAACAGGCTTTTCTCCGCGAGCAATATTTTTAATTAAACATAAAGCCGTTTTCGGGGGGAGGAGGGGGAGTTTGGACGATGGCATGGGTCGATCGATACTTGCGAATTTTGCTGTTTTCGTCTTGTTTTTTTCGTTGGAGGAAATTTTAGTTTGTAGAAGAATTAGCCATCAAATTTCGTTTTAAACTAAATGCGTAAATGCGTTACTTTTATTAATATTTTATTTCGTTAGTACATTGATTTCGTATATCTATTCTGTTGAAGATGAAGCTGGTGAACAATGAGAAGTAATGGAGCTTAATTTAGAATAGAGTTGATTTTATACTGTACATATTTTTGAACTCAACTTAATATGCATAACACACTGCAATCTGGTTGTACAATCGCAATGGTTTTACCATATACCGTACGGAATAACTATGCGTGTATTGTGTATATTGGTCCCATAAGAAACTATGATCTGAATACCAAAAAAAAAAAAACTTGATATATGCTCGTAGCAAATGTTAGGATTTCACAAGATTTCATGCAATTTAATTATTCCTTATCCACCGAAGTCGCTTTCTACGCAGTTTTTTTCTCAACGCATTTTTTCAGAATTTACGCAGATGCCTTTGTTCACTTTGATTTCGTAGGCAACGTGTTTTAAACACATTTTGTTTGTTTTAAAAGTGACTTCAGTGTATAAGAATTTAACAATGGCACTATGGGGTATGATACCTCAAATCAGTGCTGCAAACTCGTGAATTCAATTGAAAATATTGCATGAAACTTAGAAAATCAACTAGGGTAAATGCTGATTTTCAACATAAATGGAGTAACATGCATTTTTGATCGATTACTTATACTCTTATAACACTCACAATAATACAAAGATTTTCATCAAATTCTGTAGACGTTGCACCTATAGTTGCCGGTTAAATAAAAATTGTGCCAATGATCAAAATCTAGAGTGCGTTTGACTCAGTTATCATTTGTGATACCATGTTTTAAGTGTAATGTTCATTATTGCTCATTGCCTATACTGCCCTTTTCAGCATAGTTGTCCCATTCGTTAAAACAGCAAGCTGAGAAAAACGCTGTTGAAGATTTTTTTTTTCCATGGGCTCTTATGGATGGGACAACATAGTTTTGTTATTTTTCGCGACATTTTCTGAACAAAGTAGGATTTTTTTCGTGTACATTGTAAAGTGATGGTACTTGACAATCAATTCCAATGTATAACTCATAATCGCCAAAAATGCTAATGGGACTGTTATGCCGCACAGGGCAGTATAGGTGACAGCACCTGTTTTGTTTGCCTGTCAAAAATTAAAAACCAAATTTGGAGAAACTGGTTGCAAATGAATATTCTGAAGCGGTCCAGATTGAACCCAAGTGACCATCGGGAATCGGTTCCAAGCAAAAACTTGAATTGATCCACTTATGGTGAGATCTGACCCTTCTTACGTATTGATTTCAAGTATCATATGATGGGTTTTGACTCTCGAATGAATCTGTAAACTACCCAACTTATTAAGATGCGTCTAATGTGATCCTAAGCTCTTAATATAACCACCAATGCACATGTTTTTCAATTCTCATGTGATTTGAGGTGTCGCATTATGGGTTTTAGTTCAAGTCAGAAACTGGTCACTTCCTCTGGGGTTCGCGGAATATGTCCGAATGCATCCAATATGGTCCTGGGCACTTAATATATCCACAATTGAACTTGTTTTCGAATTCTCATATGCAGGGTTGTTATAGATGGCGCGGGTTGTGCGTTTCGCGTGGATATTTCGCGTTTTTATAGTTCTGTGCTATAAAACATATACATTTTAGAGCTGGAACTAGGGCGTAACAGCTTTTTTAAACCATGACTTCTTTCGATGATTTTTAGGAATTCAAGGCACGACCACGTAAACCAATATATCCATTGGACAGGGAAAGTCTTCCCCTACCCGATGGGGATGTTGAAATCATCGAGAGAAGTCATTGTTTAAAAAGCTGTTACGCCCTAATTCCAGCTCTATCTCAGGGCTGGTACCGAGTCACTTTTTAGTGACTTGGTCACTTTTTTCAAGCCAGTCACTAAAAAGTCTCATTTTTAAGGCCAAGTCGATTTTTCTTGTAATCAGTCACTATTTTAAACTTTTTTTTTTTAACGTGAATTTATTTCAAGAGTGATCATTATTCATGCAGTGTGTAGGATAGGCCTACATTTTGTTCTAATTTTTGAACAATTTGAAGTTGACGACCTTGTATAGAGTATTTTTTTAAACTTCAATCGTCTTTCTCTATCTACAAGGTGTCCACTCATTTGGCTAAATAAAGTTTCTTGATTTTTCCAGGTTTTTGCTTAACTTTGGCGGATAATTTCTAGGATTATAAAGGGTGATACGGTCAAAATTTGGTCAAGGGAAAACGCGTGTAAATCGGTGAAATCGTTTATTTAAAAAATCAAATTAAATTTCTTTTTCAAGTTCAATTAGTATAAAATTCAGGAAAAATATTCAATTAGGCTTCCGCTTTTCCAAGTCCGAATTGCAGGGCCTTACGCTTGACCCCTGCCATCATATTTTGTACAGCCACCTTGTCCACCTTCTTCGCCGCAGAAAGCCAGTTTGCCTTGAACTGCTGCTCGCCCTTAGCAGTTTTTTTGGTCTTCTTTAGGTTCCGCTTGACAATAGCCCAGTATTTCTCGATTGGGCGGAGCTCTGGCGTGTTGGGAGGGTTCTTGTCCTTGGGAACCACCTGCACGTTGTTGGCGGCGTACCACTCCATGGCCTTTTAACCGTAATGGCAAGATGCCAAATCCGGCCAAAACAGTACGGAACAACCATGTTTCTTCAGGAAAGGCAGCAGACGTTTATTCAAACACTCTTTCACGTAAATTTCTTGGTTGACAGTCCCGGAAGCTATGAAAATGCTGCTTTTCAAGCCACAGGTACAGATGGCTTGCCAAACCAGATATTTCTTTGCGAACTTTGACAGTTTCATGTGCTTGAAAACATCTGCTACCTTTCCCCTTCCTTTTGCCGTATAAAACTCCTGTCCCGGAAGCTGCTTGTAGTCGGCTTTGACGTAGGTTTCGTCGTCCATTACCACGCAGTCAAACTTCGTCAGCATCGTCGTGTACAGCCTCCGGGATCGCGCTTTGGCCGTCGTATTTTGTTTATCATCGCGATTTGGAGTCACTACCTTCTTGTAAGTCGATAGTCCGGCTCGTTTTTTGGCTCGATGCACGGTTGTAGACGATACACCCAGCTTATTTGCGGCATCTCGGAGAGAGAGGTTAGGGTTTCGCTTGAAACTACCGGCAACTCTCTTTGTCGTCTCAGCGGCTTCCGGTTTTCGATTTCCCCCCGATCCAGACTTCCTGGCTGTCGACAAACGTTCCCCAAACACTTTAATTACATTTGTAACGGTTGATTTGGCAACTTTTAGCGATTTTGCCAACTTTGCGTGCGAGTAGCTCGGATTTTCGCGATGCGCGAGCAAAATTTTGATACGCTGCTCTTCTTGCTTGGACGGCATTTTGACAACTGAAGAGTGAATTCCAAAATCAAAATAGGAGCAACATTCTACACACACACACCTTCAAAATGAGGGGTGTTCAGGTTTTTTAAATGCAAAATTGAAAGAAATACGTCAAGTTGATATTGACCAAATTTTGACCGTATCACCCTTTAATAAAAAGGTTGAAATGCGTAAAAAAAACAACAACAACAATTAACTCATTCGTTTTTAGGACATGAAAATCAGCTTTAAAGAAACAGCTTTACTTCATTTTAGTAAGTCTAAGATCAAAACATTTTTTGGGTTTATACTAGCAAAATTGTGGAAACTTTTAATAAGTTCTATTTATATCAGAAAAGTTAGATCTAGAAATCTTTCAGGCTGTTTCAGCCAACCAATAGTCATTCAACCTGAAACGAATTGAAATGATTAATTAATTAATGCTAAGAAATCAATAGTTAATTAGTCTTACTACCAAGCGACTGCAGCAGCAGAAAATTAGGATTATTTTGATTCTGCTGAGTTGCCAGCAACAATATATGCTCCACAAAAGTAGTAGTTGTAAATTAAGATGAATATCGACTAAGTTACATGAGTTAACAATGAGTTCACACTTGG